CGGCTGCTGGATCCACTTCCCCACCCTGGAACCGCCTCGCACTCCCCGCATCGCCCCGTCCCTGTCGCTCCCGCTTCTCTCTGCCCGCGCCTCCTTCCCGACTCCACGTCCCCCTTCCTGCCTCTCCCTTCCTGCCTTTCCTGGGCCGGCCGCTCCCTCCCTCTGGCCTCGTCCCGCTCCTTCATCCCGGGCTGCGGGCGGACCGGCGGGGGGGCGCAGCGCCAGTGGGTGCCTGGGAAGGGTGGAACGGGTTAAAGGTGCCTTGGGTTCGGGGACTAGGATAGTGGACGAGAGGAGAGTGTGACATCAAGTTTTGGAGAAGAAAGCGGGCCTAAGCCAGGGTTGAGGAAGAGAAGAGTTAAGTGTTCCTGAGAGTGGTAGGGGCCCGAGTCCTTGGGGCAAGAAAGAGAGTAATCAGTGAGTGTCAAGATACACACACACACACACACACGCACGCACGCACGCACGCACGCCAGGAGACAGAGGTGTTAAGTGTTCCACCGCGGTGCTCAGAGAGCGTGCAGCGGCACAGACTTCACGTTCTGGAAGGCAAAGGGTGCAAAGAACCCGGATCTGGGAATGGGCCTGGGGAGTCTTGGGGCTGGAAAGAGGACCCAGGTGTCTCCTCCCCCCTGTTTACTGGGTCTGGAACGCTGTGATCTCTATGAAGAGAAGGGGTTCCGACACTCTGCAGTAGAGGGTGCTCCTCAGTAGGGGTAACTGGCCCTGGTACTGCGGAAAAGCAGCCAATCAGAAAGCAGGTCCTGGCAGACCCTCCAATGAGGAGCCCTGGATGGGGCTCAGGGGGCAGTCTGGGCAGGGCCTGTTTGGGCAGAGGGAAGAATGAGTGGGTGTGGCAAAGCTGGGTGCCAGGCGCACAGCCAATGGAGCAATTTGGAGTGGAGCCAAATTTGACTTTAGTAAAGGGCCAATTCTGACTGCATCAGGGAAGATGGAGACAATAAAAGAATCAGTTGGCTGAGTGTGCCTGATGCCCAGGACGGGCCAGTGGGGTGTCCTGGTGGTAAATATTCCCTGCTGCCCTCACACTCTGCCTTGGTCTGGCCCTGTGCTTCCTTCCTTCTTCACCTCTGCTCTTCAGACTGGTTTCTGTCCCCCTCAATTGCAGCCTGCTTGGAACCCTTACCCCAGCCCTTAAGGCCCTGTCTCTGTCCTGCCTTACCCTCTCAGTCTCTCACCCTGGGCCTCTCTCTGCAGATGCCCTGCTGTCTGACCTGGAGACCACCACCTCACACATGCCAAAGTCAGGGGCTCCAAAAGAGCGCCCCCAAGAGCCACCCACACCTCCCATGCCCTATGGCCACCAGCCACAGGTGAGATCAGATGGGGACTGGGCTGCCACTAGTCCAGGTTTAGCCCGGGGTTGGGCTAGATGAATCTGGGTCTGAGTGGGCAAAGCACAGGTCTCTCACTCCACGCACATGTCTCTACTCTGCAGACAGCCTCTGCGGAATCTTCAGGAGCTTCTGGAGAAAAAGACCACCTGTACAGGTGAGGGGGCTAGGAAATGGGGGGTGGAGGAACCACCTGAGGCTCAGGTGAGGAGGCATGGATTCCCCACCCCTGAACTCAGGTCCCCACCCTGTTTCCCAGTACGGTATGCAAGCCTCGGTCCCCAAAGCCTGCGGCCCCTGCGGCCCCTCCATTCTCCTCTTCCAGTGGTGTCTTGGGCACTGGGCTCTGTGAGCTAGACCGGTTGCTTCAGGAACTCAATGCCACCCAGTTCAACATCACAGGTACTAGAGTTTCTGAGACTGGCCTTGATGGGATGGGATGAGGGCAAGGCAGAGACTAGGGCATAAACTTCCCAGAGCAGTTAAAGGGACACGAAGCCTTAACTGGGAGGTGGGCTGAGCACAGCTCTATGCCCAAGGCCCTTCTCTCCTCTCTCCAGATGAAATAATGTCTCAGTTCCCGTCTAGTAAGGCGGCTGCAGAAGAGCAGAAGGAGGACCAATCTGAAGAGAAGAAAAGGCCCAGCCTGTGAGTTTGGCAGAGTAGGCAGGGCTGGGAGAGGTGGGTTCTGGATGTCTGAGCTGCCAGACGGAGTACTACTCCGGGGAGCTCTGAGATGACAAGCTATGTTCTCTGCAGCCCTCCCAGCCCCTCCCCTGTCCTCCCAAAGCCTTCAGCCACCTCGGCCACTCTGGAGCTGGATAGACTCATGGCCTCACTCTCAGACTTCCGTGTCCAGAACCATGTGAGTCAAGCAGGGTGTGGACTGGTGTCAATTTTCTGCGCTCCCTAACTCATTCTAGACCCTTCCACATCTGCGGCCTTACTGACTCAGCTCTCGTGTCCTCCTTACTGCAGCTTCCAGCTTCTGTGTCAACTCAGCCGCCAGCACCCAGCTCCATGAATGAGGACTCCCCATCCCCACCCAGACCGACCAGCAAGGGCAGCCTAGACACCATGCTGGGACTGCTGCAGTCTGACCTCAGCCGCCGTGGTGTTCCTACCCAAGCCAAGGGCCTCTGTGGCTCCTGCAATAAACCTATTGCTGGGCAAGTAAGTATAGCCCTGTGAGAGGAGAGGCAGAGACCCACAGGCCCAACCCTACTGAGAGCCAAGGTTTGTACTAAGGCCTTTTGGTAACTCGGTCTCTGAAATGGATATACTATTGCTATTAGTATTCTATGGATGAGGGTCACACAGCAAGCAAGTGGCAGGGCAAGATTCCAGCCTAATCACCACTTGTGGTCCTACTGTGTGAGACACTGCAAGCTGCTTTACAAACCCCCATTTCATTTACTCTTCACAAGACTCATCGGCTCCACTCCATCTTACAGGCACCCACGACTGTCTCTTCTCAGGAAGAGTCTGGTCTGGGGGCTGTGGGTCCTGGCTTGTAGACTGAGCAGGTGTGACTGACAGAAGCCATGTGGTTGACTTAGAACTCTTGCTAAAGTGCCTGACTCCCATTCCAGAATCGCCAATTTCAGCAAAATAGCATGATGACTTTTGTGAGCCCAGACACATTCATCTTCATGGGTCCCTTCCTCTGTTAGAGAAATTAAATTGTATTTTATGCCTGTGTTGGTATAAAGACAAATATGTTCATATATATTAGATCATTTTTTTCTAGTTCATTTTTTTTCCTTCTGATTTAAAAAAAAAATTAAAACATTATTGAGACCAGCAGATGACATAATGGCTACGTTGCTGGACTCCGATGTAGTCGACCGCAGTTCGCATCCCGGACCCGGTGGCTTAAACTCACGCTGGGTGCGCGTGTGTGTGTGTTTGTGGCCCAAGA